GGCGAGCTAAGAGTTTTGATGAACAGATTCTAATTACCTATACCTATATACCAATAATTTTACGCACTTCCATATATTATTGTGCAAAGTGGCAGAGCTCAGAGGTGTGGGGAAACGAGAGACAGATGACTATTATTTTTCCCCTTTTATAAGCTGAAGTAACATCAACTTCGAATTATTTAAAAAAACAAAATTAGTTCAATACCTACGATCCGAAGAAAAATTCAGTCGATGTAAAACACTTCAAAAGTTTCACTTGCATTGTGTTTTTTTGCGCTAGCAATGTATTCGGGAAAAGGTTTGTACCTGTGGTTTTTACCCTCGTCTGTTGCATTATGCAGATGCAGCGGGGAGCGAACAGAGTTAGCGTAGCGCTTTGTTGATTTTCAGAACGACCTTGTGCGAATGTCTGTTGTAGGGCTGCTACTTTCATAGTTACTGTTTTTGGAAAACTTTTGTATATTGTTCTATCTTAAACTTAATCATCATAAGCCTATTAATGCCCCCATTGCTGGGGCACAGGCCTTTCTCATGGATGGAATAGGGAGATAGGGGCTAGACCCACCACGAGGCCCATTTCGGATGAGTGGGTGCTAACGACTGCGGATGCAGCCGAGACCAACGGCTAAACGTGCCTTTCGAAGCCCGAAGGCGCTCGAGATAATAAGGTTTTTGGTCACCCATTCAATGACCAACCATTGAGAAAGTTGTTTAAAATCAGGCCGAACGCGCTAACCATCTGCGCCATCGAACATCGAGCATCTCTAATATTATTTGATACTAAAAAAAGAAACGTATAATGAAATCGTGACGGATTACTGAGTTTTTACTTTGTTCAGTCGCTGCAGTACACAATTTTACTTTATTTTAAATTATTTTTTTCATAAAAACTAAATACTACACTTATTTCTATTCTAACCAACTGTGCAACAGTTTGTCGGCAGTAGCTCTCGTACTAAGTAATGTAAGTAGTGTACTCTGTTATTTTGGCAATCGCAAGCATGAATTTTAGAACTATATTCGATGGGACTATACAGTTTATTTGTCAAATACTTGGTTTTATACTTTATTTATTTCCAAAAGAATTCGAACCTTCAAGTAAAATTTGACAACGTTAAATGATGACTTAAATTCGGTTACTTAAACAAAATAGAGAACATAAAATACTTACAATAGATAGACAAATTATTAAACTGACTTTTTTTTAAGAAAATAATGGGTAGGTGCGCAGTGCCACAGAATTATCTATAGGTAGGTTTCTCATCAAAGAACTCGGCAGCCCTATGTTTGTAGACAAGCGTCGTCGCTTGGTTTCCAAAAGGTTCCACTTTTAGTTGTCGCCTCGCTTTTCCATCATGGCGGCGCCGAGGTTTTCAGATAACTTTTCACACGAAAATGTATATACCTAAGAACGTACAACTGCTCTATATTTTTAGCGAATTAAACTTCGGTTAAAAATAATTCCTTTTTCGTTTGATCTTCTGTCAATTACCTTTAGTTAAATTTGCCCTAATATGTTTAATCCATATATTTTTAAATTTTTGTTAGATCTACTGAAATAATGAAAATCTGTAATGATTATGATTTCAATCATTGTTGTAGTTACTTACTTATATTAAGTCATGAAAATGATTTTATTCTTGAATGAAATAAATATAAAGTTAAATAATGTAATCATAAAAATGGCAATAGTTGACTGACTCATCAAAGTCTAATTCAGACCTCATTACCTAGAAAGCTTAAATTCGGTACAGATGTTCCCTGTATGACGTATAAAAGGAATGAGGAAGGATATTTTGAAATTCAATCCACGAAGAGGTAAAAATTGTCTGAAAGTTTATATGGTGAATATTATTAAATGAACATTTTGGATAGAAATTTGGTATGGGTAAAGTTAAATAAGAAATTAAATTATTTCTGGTGTAAAAATGATTTTATCACTTAGATACATACCTATATGTTTTATTTCTATCTAGCTAGACCTAATTCACGGCTAAAAGCTGTTATATTATATATATTTTATTACACTCGTAATAAAGATAATTAACTTTTTTATTGAGTCCATTATGTTTATACTGTTCCAAATAGCGACCTATTTGTGTAGCTCGATAGCACAAACAAATTCAAAAGTCAGGAGTCAGTGACGTCACCACTGCAACCCGGTTGATTACTCACACACGGGTCCGACATCCGACTGCAAGTGACTCACGCCATAAACGGGATGAAACTGCACGATCCATTTATTTTATTATTCCAGCAGACGACACTATGCGGCAAGCTGCAGAAATATTGCATTCCAGAAAACCTGGAGTCCCGAATGTTTGGACGGAATTTATTTTTCCTTCCTATTTTCCATGAATTCATTTTCCTTTGTTTGGAACAGAAAATCTTTTGTCAGTGTCAAGTGTTCTTGAGTTGATTGGATTTCGTTGGAATATTTCGCATTAGCATGCATCCCAAATCATGTCAGCGTATTTTGGGAGATTGTCACCAAAGATTTTTAACAATTCTACACTTTTCCCTGTACCTTGCACGTTTTTGATCGTTTACGTACGAATGTACGTTTATTGTTTACGGAATCGTCGATGAAGGTAACTAGCTGATGACACGAGAGTTTGTGACAACGGCTTTAATTTATTAAAGCCTAAATCATCTTTGTGACATTTGCGGATCCTTAAAATGGAAACATTAATGACTACAAAATAGCGTCAGCCAATAATCCTCGAACACAGAATAATTCAGTTTAAATTATTTTGTTTTATCTCAAATTTATAGTTTTTCTATGTGACTGAAAAATCCGTCTTACTTTTGCGCGATGCGGTTCGACAATGTTAGTAAGGCAGCACAGACTGCATTACAATTATTTATTTATAGGAAGCGCATACCATGTTCGCTGTAATGGGGAGAAAAAGTTGAAAGTCGCGTCACTACGTCGGTTCTTAGAAACTACACTTCCAGGACTCAGTCCTCCGCACTCTTTTGTTTCCAAGTCGGGCGAGCTAAATAACCGATCGGACGTCCTAGAGTTTATCTAAAAATAGAAATTTGCTATGCAAATGCTCTCGATGTGCCAGTGTAAACAGTATTACAAAGCGACGGACGGCGAGGCGGCGCGACGCCACGGCGACGCTGCGGGTCGATACGGCGCGACGACGACTGAGGTTACTCCATCCGTCATACTCGTAGATGCGGGGACACTCTATCAGGAACAATGCCAGTTGAAAACTTTTTAATTGCTGACATAAAGTATCTTCGTCTTTGTCTGTTAGAAAATTTACATCTAAATGTGCATACAGTAGTGGAAATGCTGGCTGCTACAATTGGGTTACGTTGAAATAGGAAAGATTTTAGTGTTATCTTTGTCGAGGGCGCGACTCGGCCAGCACCAAGCAGTAATCAATATTAATCACATTTAAGGGCTCTAAGCAGTAAGCGCAGAACACTGAAAGGTTTCTGTCTTCGGTGGTTCTAAGCCTTCCCGAACTGTTATAAACGTGATATGATTCGTAAACACAACGTGTTTGTATTTATCCTAGCTACTTACATATAGGCAATAATATAATGATTATATTAGAAAACCATATCTATTACTTCATTCTTTATTAGATAGTAAAAATATGTACTGACCGACGTCCAGGATACTTACTGACTTTGATATATTATAGTACTTTACATCATATTTTTATTATAGAGAATCAAAAAAAATAATGGATAAAACTTTGTCATATTAATAAACGTAAGGTTAACGTTTCCAATAATTTTTTGGGGTCGATCGGGGTCGCCGAATATAATCTTTCTGTCTGTTGAACAGCATCCGATCCCACGGGTGAAGTGATTGCGTAACTTTTTTCGATTTCCGGGATCTCTTACAATTCATAGTTGGGATTGGGAAATTATATAAGCTACGTCACCTAGACACTTTTATTAAGCTTTAAATGGGATGGCCAAAAGAGTTAAAGTTAAATACTAAAAAGTTCCTTGATCCCACAATTATTACAGATATTCTTATTAAATACGTCAATTAACAACGACCAAACATCGATTAATGTTGAAATTGAGGAGCTGTTTTAGAAAGCTAATTTTACGTTTTATGTTCTGGTCCTACCTACACCTGTACCAGAACTACAATATTAACAGATCCGTACCCTTACGACGAACTAATATCGAATTCGAATAGTTTGCGAGTGCTAAATGTCATTGTTAATTGTGTACTGATTTTTAGTTTACATTACGTCCGCTGCGGCGCTGCTGCTCAAGTTTCAATACAAAATTTGACAAGATATTTCGCACTTGCAAACTATTCGAATTCGATATTGGTTCGTGCTAAGGGTACAGTATTCATATCGCCAACGTCAAAGTTTCTATGGAAACTAAGCAGCGCCGCAACAAACTAGCTTTTTCCATAGAAACTTTGAAATAACGATACGAATACTTTCTCGCTAGTTGTTCGTGCTTAGGGTACTATGTAATATAATTAGGTATTGTACTGATATGATAAGTTTCCTGAAATAAATAATTGAATAAATTGTAGGTATTTTCACGTTCCAATGAGTATGTAAATTCTTCATTTAATTTACGTCACTTGTTACTTGTTGCGGGCCCCCGTTTCCGCACGTAAACTTCATAGTTGGTCCATTGTGCGTGCAGGGTAGATTGGGATAGCTAGCACAGCCAGCTCCAGCTTCTTCCAGAAGCACAGTAGTCTGGGACTCTCACAGGCTTCTAGGAGAGGCCTCGGCGTCCCGAGGATTGATGCCCGGTGTTCTGCCACGCTCATGCATTCCAGGATCCCATGAGCGGACGTTTCATCTGCTTCCAGACACCCTCTGCACAGAGAACTATCTGTAACACGTTATTTAATTTACGTTACTATTCTGTGAAATATTCATTTTTGCATTGTGACGTTTCTATAGAGCCGATAAATTAAGTAAAAAACATATTGTCGAAATGGCATAGAAATGTTTTAATTATACTTAAACACTTGCTTTTGTTTGTTGCAGTTATAACAAATCCGAAAGCACCACCTGGCAGCAAAGATGCAGCTAAAAGCTTCAACTTCGACTTCTCATACTGGTCGCACAATGTAAGTATCTATAAGTATTTATTAACCAAGTAATCTGAACAAAATGTTCGTATGGATAAGCAGTCCATTTTAGCATTTCATTAGTTTAAAAACTTTATCTAATAAACTACTGCGGCGAAGCCAAAAGGAAAGCTTTTATATTAACAGTATTTACTTGTATGTTCAACCATAGCAGCTCAAAATGATAATTTTGGTTTGTTTAAACTTTCTTTGACTAAAAAAATAAAACACCTATAGCAGTTAATAAAAACATAACAATTAATGTTGTTTCATACACAAAAACAAAAAAAAAACAACATTAGTTATACTTTATTTATTTATTAAGTACAGTTAATGTTGTTAGGAGACAATAAGGACCAGGGGGCAAATCGCCTAACGGGATTACTACGGCTATCGATATCGCTTACGATTTCATTTTGTTGTTTCTGACCGCCTAAGTTTTTCAAATATATCACGCTCATTTTATTTAATATTTTTAATACAAATGCAAAGAGCGCCAGGAATTTAAAACCCATCGGCGGTGATAAATAAAAAAACGAAATCATAAGCTCTAGCAATAGCCATAGCAATCAAGTTACGCGATTGGCTCCCAGGTTGCTTATCGCTTACAGTAAATAGTTTCCGAATCTATGCGTAAAGTAGAAAGACTTCAACATTATGCCAGCACTTGTCGCATTCCATATTTTTTTCGTGCCCTATTCAGCCTGGAGATGTTTAATCTAATACTTACAGTTCGCGGAATCGAATTGCTTTGGTATGTTGTGTACGTCTCCTTATATTGTGTACATAAGTTCTTAGAATAGCGACAGCACTGAATCAATAGTAAACATGGAAGATTGCCACCCCCTCCACTCGGGTTTCCTTTTCTCCACCCCCAAAGGCTACTCAAAGGGATGAGTAAGGGTGAAATCTTGACGAGACCGCAACGCAATAACGCCGAGCTGTTGTTAAGATTTAACTTTTATAAAGCTCTGCTAGGTTTTTCCGTCTTTAATTTATTTGGTCATATCCAGGCAAAATATTTATATGTCCGACCTTTCTAACTCGGTTGAAGTCTGCCTTTCGGTCTGTGTAACGCTGCTCGCCTGCAACTCCTGCAAGGCAAGGAAGAATTAGAAAATGATGGAGAAAATGTCCAGTTCAATTCAGTGTATTGTAAATCTTATCTTGTGATAGGTAATCATAATCATCTGTTTTTTTGCAGAATATGGTAATAAATGGTGATATAGAGATAATGTTGAGAAGAAAAAAACTTATCACGATTATCCCATTAATTAAGCATAATATAAAATTATAACAAATTCACATCATCATTGTCAAACAATATAACAGATTATTTGAATCTTATTTATTATAAACATCAATAATAATTTCAATTTCAACATCACTTAAATATTCCTTTAATGTAAAATAAGCTTTATTTACTAAAAACTTTTTAGGGTCACTTTATATTTAACCACAGTAGATTTGTAGGTACAATTGTACAAAAAAGGAAATGTTTTTTAAGTTGTTCTCCTCGTATTTTATAACAATTTGTCTTAGGGAAGCCAATAACATTTATTATCGTGCAATGTCGTGTTTCTGTATTGAGTGAGGGAATGGTTGTAGCGAATTTTACAGCAGGTATTGCAGAAGATTTAGATTATTACATTTTTTATTTAGAAAACTAGGCACCCACACATAATTATTTTGTCGATAATCTGATGATCTGACCACGGTAATAACAATTCCCGCCAATTGCCTCGCTGGCGTTTGCCGCTTGTTTCGGATGGTGGCCATATTGGATTTATACGCAACACGATTATCGGATTTGCCAGGCTGCGTGCTGTATGGTTTCCACGGGCTACGATGGTTCAAGGCTTCCTTAATCGACAGATTATGCAAGAGACTAATTTACAACGTGATATGCAGAGTCTACCTACTGTGCATTTAGTATAATTAAAATGTTGATATATCCATAAAATTGCGCGAGTGTCGTAGAACACTCGGTTGGAACGAAGTTAAACACATTAATAAACTATTCACTAATCCGCATTGAACCTGCATAGCGGGTCGTGGTTCAATCTCCCTATTCCATAAAAAAGTACCGTAGGCCCAGTGCGGATTCGGTTCAATGCGTATTTGGCCCAATGTAGATGGGTCAAGTGCGGAATGGGGCCAGAGCGGACTTGGCCCACTGCCCTATTCCATCAAAATAATCCACTGCTATAGGGTTCAACTTAGAAAAGGCTTTGAGCCTGTTCCAAATTTGCGTCCATGAGTTGTACGTACTCTAATATTTATTGTTTGTTTGTTGTATGTTCGTCATAGGTCACTCAGAGGTGGGCGTTAATAGTTGCGACACAGTTTTTATAACTAATGCAATTATTATCGTGCACATTTATTGTATTCACTGTTTTTGTTCCAATAAAATATATTTCAAAAAAAAAAAACAAAATAATGTATCCTACCCACCAATCCGCACTCGGGCCATGGCCCGATCCTCCGATTCAGTCTAAGTATTAAACAAAACTTTAAACCAAGTTCACAACCACCGCCGTCAGTGATCACCCACCTAGCTACCCACCTAGCTGGCTAGCTAGATGCCTGGCTAGTCTCTGACGAAAAAATCTAACAAAAATTTCGCCTAATCCGCATCCGCCATACCATCCGAAAAGGAACTTCGTTCCAGTAATTTCATATTGTACCTTATTCCACCAATCGGTACTTTGTCAGCGTGGGTCCTGGCTTTATAATTCGGGCTGGCCATTAGAATGCTGATGTTCCCTAAAACACCGTTTAATCCACAGAACACAGAAGACGTTAGAAAGGCCTTGTGGGCGGGGCAGGCGCTACAGATATGTGTAAACAAATGCTCATAACTTGGTTGAATCAAATGACCAAAACTTGGTTCTGATTGTGTCGTTGCTCCCGGGTGTAAGCGCTGATTGGTTCAAATGTCGCGTCGTTTGAGTGGCTATTATCGAAGTGTAGTGGGGTCGACATCGGTTCCCATACAAACAGTGTCTGATCACCCTTCTAACCTCTTTCTGTATTCTGTGGTTTATTCCTACTAGTAGAACTATACGGATACTATCTAAATCTCGTAAAAGAAAAAAAAACAGATAGATAGATATTTTGACGACCTCCGTGGCCAAGTGGTTTGTACGCCGGGTTTCATGGGGTCGCGCCGACTCGAGAGGTCCAGGGTTCGAATATCGGTGGGGGCATATGTTTGTGTGATGAACACGAGTATTTGTACTCCAGTCATGGATGTTTAATATATATTTTTATGTAAATATACTTATATATGTACAGTATATGTATTCTATCCGTTACCCTAGTATCCCAGAACACAAGTCTTATAGTGCTTACTGGGGCTAGGCTAATTGGTGTGAGTGTTTAAAAAAAATAGAAACTTAATTGAAATTGTGTCGTTCGTAAATGCAACAGGATTTGTTTTTCATCTCTTATGTTTCTATGTCGTTTCTCCCTCTCTGTTATTCTCTAAACCCATAATATCCGTTCGTAAATGTTACACGACCGCGTTAACTTGTATTTCCATTCCCTTTGGAGATTAATTGCGATTGTTCGATGGGACCTGCCTGTTGCGGTTGTAGTTTTCATTTCCGATCGATCTTGTATTGCTGTTTATTGGATCTTGGTGATCGATTCGCACAATGTTTGATTTAATGAAATTGTTGTGTTTGAAATTAGAATGCTTCATCGATGAGACGGAGCAAAGCGACAATTTATAATAATGTGTGAGCTTTATTCAATAAAGAAAAACCAAAACAATAAAACAAAAATAGCCGCTGTATTTATCTATGCTTTTCTATTCTATACACTTACTTACTAACCCAGTTGCAGTTTTATTGATGGTTATTTTCACGACTACTGCATTTTAATTTTGTATGAAAAAAAAATACTGACTGACAATTAAGGACTGGCAGAGAAATCCATCCCCACAAAAATAGTCCAGTCAACAAGTTCAAAAACGTGAAAAATAGAGATAAAGCTCCTAAAAATATGAGCAATAGCTCATTGGATTCGGAACGACCTCTAGAAAAATGAGTTTTGAGGATTTTACTGCACGTAAAAAATTGCAATTGTTATTAAAAAAATAAGATGAAAAAAAAAGAGGTATTTACGTTTTAGTTAATAACTCATAAACTATTAATATTTACGATATTTGGAAAAAAGGTCCTTAAAGATGAGGAAATTTCCGAAAAAAAAGTCCCAGCTCCCGGAACTCTACCTCTATTATTTATAATTTTAATTTAACGCTGAAAATAGGGCTCCGCGCAGCCATTACGGCATGGGCGCACTGCCGTTAAAGACAGTTTCTTACATAAAATTATTTTTTTATAGTAACAAATATGAATTTAAAAATTTAAATTAATTATGGTGTCATCCAGATACTTGAAAGAATATATTTTTTTAAACAAATGTTATATTATTGCTGCTTTCTTATCCAACAATGGCATTAAGTAACATCGGAAAAAAATTTTTTACATCATTTGTTAAGAAATTGTTTATAAACAAATAGACAAGTTAATTACATACATAGAATACAAGTAAAGCGCTGACTTCGCCCATGCAAGTGGGCCATCGAAATTATTGCCACACGGCGGAAATGCTGTCGCTGCGAAACGTGAACGCCGCGCCGCCGCGTGACCGCCGTCGCCGCGACACCAGGGCCATCGTCATCGGATCACTTTGATTCTCACATCGATCGGGTCAATAGGTTTTAAGTAATATAATAATTGTAATTTCTTTATTTCTAATTAAATTTCTTATAAGTAATTTCGGTTTTTTTTAAGACCTCCGGCTGTCCATTTCATAATTGGCGCAGTCGGTAGGATATTCGCGGTCGGTTTCGCGCTACATCCAGGAAGATTTCCGTTCGTTGCACGAGCCGCCCGAGTGGCTTTCAAGTCACGGCACGAGTATCCTGAACCCGAAGGAGCAGCCAGAGGGAAAGTATCCAGAAATCGATACGTAAGAGAGCCGAAATGTTT